AAAATTGTCCATCAATTTTCATAGAAGTAGCCTTAGCTCGACACTCACATAGATAAAATTTGTCAATAGTGCTCCCATAACTAAGTTACTCCACTCATTAAACTACAAATTTCATTAAAAATATATAATTCAATCCTTAATTCATTATAAAATAGATGCATCACCACTTTAGGAATATGATTGAAAATTTTTTCTATTAAATATTGATATATCTTTTAATAATGATTTCTTTATGATTTGTTTTTTCCATTCGAAACTCAATTCTCATAATTCAAATTGGATATTCTCATAATAAATTCTACAATATTGGGTTTGAATCCCATTCTTTTCGATGAGCACTAAACTTTAGACTATGATCATAGTTTTTCTTTCAACTTTTTGTTTTTACCAAAAGCCTAATTGGCAGAATAGTGGCTAACAAAGAGATTTATCTCTTTTTTTTTTCTCACTTTTTCTTTTTACATCAACTCACATGTCTATTAACTCATAAAATTTGCATTCATATTTTTACTCACTTTTTCAATGGTATCGTGATGCACTATCAATGGAGGTGTTCCCTAGCTCAAGTTCCTCTTATCAGAACCCACAAAGAGTGACTACTGTATAAATAAGTTGTCCACGTATCATTAAGCTTGTTGTCTTCTTTATTTGTACAAGCCTGATGGTGCTCCGTGTCCATGATAGAAGTTGCTTGACTGTCATTTTGCCATATTGTGAGCAGGTGAAAGGGCAACCAGGTAAAAGGCTTTTATAAGTTGCATGAAACACCATGGGATAAGCTCAAATGCAACCAAGTTTTGCCACATGGAGGAAGTAGTTAGTGGATGGACTATGGTTAGTCTTGAAATAGAATTTGGATAGCTTTTGGGCTACATATATGGATAAGAGTTGGCCTTATAAGTGTGTGGGTTCCTTGTGATTATCCATTTGATGGGTTTAAATTATCAATTTGAATTCCATTGCCTATTTTCCCACATATATATATATATATATATCAATTAGAAGTCCATGGTTTATTGGTTGGCCGAGCTGAAGTGCGGCACTACTATTAGGGCAAAATATCCAAATTCACCCCCAAAGTATAGTAGTAGGGACGAATTTACCCTGAACAAAAAATGGAGACAAATCCACCCACAAAATTTTTGACTTGGATAAATTACCTTAAATTTAACGTGTGACATCATTTAACATCAGCAATCTGTTAATTCGTTAACGGATTGCTGACATCAGATGATGTCAAATTAACAGATTGTTGATGTCAGATGACGTCATACATTAAATTTGGGGTGATTTGTTCAAATCGAAAACTTTGTGAATGGATTTGTCCTCATTTTTTGTTTAAAGGTGGATCCATTCCTGCCACTATACTTTAGGGGTGGATTTGGGTATTCTACCTTGCTATTAGTATTACTTTAGACCTTGTTTTGTGAATTATGGGCCACTTTGACTTAGTGTTGATATATTCTTAGCTAATAACTAAGGATATATTATGTCATAAAAATCAAACAAATATAGAAAAAATGTTAAAATTTTATCTCTTCTCCTTTTACAAATTAGATGGATTTTTTTTATACTATTATGAGAAAATGGAGCATTTCAACTTTTACATTGACTTATGTTTCTATACCTAATTTTTGTTTTGTATTTTTATTTTGATAATACTATATTTAGAATATCATATATAATTAAGAATTTACAATTATAATATAATATTAAATAAGTAAATACATACAATATTATTAATAAACTTCTAAATAAAAAAACTAATTACATAATAATACATCATATGATAAGTTTATAATGTCATAAAATACTATAATTATTCATTTAATACATGCAAGAGTCATGCCATGCATTCTAAAACCAGGAATAATAACAAGTTGAAGAGAGCTAACTTTTTTTTTTGGTTTACCGCCCGATATCCGGGGCTTCGTCCCGATTAATCCAGACTCGACCTGTGTCGCGCACCTGAAAATGGTGGGTGAGTCTCCCAACGGGGGCTGCTGCATACACAAGGTCTCGAACTCGAGACCTTGCTTAAGCTGAAACAAGTCGCTTACCACTTGATCCAACCCCTCGCGTTGGTAAAGAGAGCTAACTTTATAACAACAAGTTCAACAAGTTGAAGAGTCATGTCATGCAAAAGTAGTCAAAAAAAAATAAATGCACCTATCAAATAGCTTTGAAGCCTGGCGCTCTAGCACATTATAATGATCTACACTCCTCACTTCAATTAATTATGTGTCCTAACAATAATAAAAAAAAGTTTAAATATGTATAATATTAAACACAGTTTTATTAAATTATAGAATTAAGTTTAACTGTGTAAACATTATTTTATTATAAAAAGATAAAGAAAAAATTTGACCGTGCTAAAGAAATTTACACCTAATTCGGAGAAAAACCAAAGGACTTTCACTCTTGGGAAGACCATAAATTCTTGTATCTAGCCCTACTATTTTGAATAATCCACCACTCCTTTATTTCCCGACTTGTGTTCATCTTTAAGAAAATGGCAAGTTTAATAAGGTTTTCCCAAATCCTCTTCCTTTCCTTCATGTTGTTATGGTTTTGAGTCCTAAGCTCCTCACCTTCTCAATCTTCTTCCGATTCATCACCACATTTGTCCCGTCCGGAAGAGCATTCTACACTGCTTGATTTCAAAAGCACTACTAATTTGATGGAAGACTGTCTTGGTGGTGCTTGTCCTATAATACAAACTTGGAATGAGAGTAAAGACCGCTGCTTGTGGGAGGGCATCACATGCAACAAGGTGAAAGGTCACGTGATTGGCCTTGATCTTAGTAGGAATTGTCTTAAAGCCAATCTAACTACAAATAGTGGTCTCTTCCGCTTTGAGAAATTGTAGAGTAGCAACCTTTTTCACAATTATTTTCATTATCCTAACATCTCATTTGGGTTCGACCGTTTTAGATAAAGACCTTAAAAAAACTTTTAGGAAAATGACCTACATTACACTAACTTTCTTTTATTTTCTTTTACCCTTGTTGAAAAGTTATTAGCGAGCATGGTAGAATAGTAGAGAAGACGAGCTTCACAAGTTATGATTTGGGCAATGAAAAAGGCTGAATGAAAAACAATTCATTAAAAAAATAAAGTCAAGAGTTCCTATCCTATTTGATTTAGCTATTTTAAGAAAATTTACAATTAAAACTGATATGTGACAACTAATAGTTGTTTATAATCTAGTCTTTTGTGGAAACCATAATTAACAAGAACCAGCATGAGAAACCTCTAATGAATGTGATGGAAAAAGAATCTTATGATTTATAAACATTTTATTGGTTAGAATGCTATTGATGTAGTATTCCATTATCGTAATGAAGAATTCTTCAACCAGAAGATATGGAATAAGTTAAGGTTTTCTAGAATATTGGACTATATATTAACGTGTGGAAAGTGTAAAGAAAAAAGTTTTGTGTGAAACCATAATTAACGTATAAAAAGTGTAAAGAAGAAAGTGAAAAATTAATTGCTCTAGTGAAAAGGAATGAAAGCAAAAGGGGAAAGGGGAAGTCATCGTTGGGCTAGAAGCATGTGGTATGGGTTTAGTATATCAACATGTGGAACAAGTCAAGGTTTTTTGGAATATTGGACTATATATTAATGGGTGGAAAGTGTAGAGAAGAAAGTTTTGTGTGAAACCATAATTAACGTATAAAAAGTGTAGAGAAGAAAGTGG